CCTACCACTACTCTGGCCTCTGTCTACCTGGATCAGCAGCCAGTATCTGGAAGACTTCCCAGAGCACTGAGACTAAAACAAGGATGGGGCCAAAGCTGAGGCTCTAAGCCAGGCTGAGTCAGTTTTAATGAGGGTTTTCTAGAGGGACAGAACCAAACACACACACACACACACACACACACACACACACACACAACTTTAAAACAGCAACTACAGCAGAATCTCATCCAAGAGCTGAGAACCTGGTAATTACTTGATCCTTAAAGTTGTCCCACAATAGCTGTCTCTCATAAGCAGGCATCAGTCTGTGGTTGCTCTGTCTACAAGGCAGGCTATTTCAGTAGCCCCAATCTGGCACCTGAGGCATGGAAGGTTCTTGAAGAACCACTGGTCCTTGGTCCATGATGAAAACTTGGAAAGGCTGGTTCTGCAATCATTGAAGGAATTGGAAACAGCAGCAGGAGGAGGAACAGGGCAAATCAGCTCAGCAGCAAAGAGGAGATGATCTTCATTCCGCCATACCCTTTGATGTGTGAAGTCCCCCCCAAACTGTCCCAATCATAGGGACAGTTCTTCAGGGAGGCTCCCTATGAAGGTGATTCCAACATGTGGCATGTTGACATTAAAACCACCCCTAGTAACCACTGATATCCAGAACCACACATTCCAACACTGCTGTGCCTCATTTCCTTCTCACTTGGAAAGCAGATGTGATAGACAATGTAAAACAAGACGTGTTCCTCTTAAAGCCCCAAAGCTAGCCAGGTATGGCACATCTGTAATCCCAGTACTTGGGAAGAAGAGGCAAGAGAATCAGGAGTTTAAGACCAGCCCCCAGCTGCATAGTGAATTCAAGGCCAGCCTGGCATAAATACAATCCTGTCTCAAAATAAACAAATAATAATGATATATTTTTAATTAAAAAAACCTGAAACTTAACAGAAATTTGAATTATTTGCAAGTGTTTTGACTATTTTCTTACCATCTGAAATACTGCATTTTACTAATACTAGTCACTTTTCTGTTTCTGTGATGAAACTCTCTGGGGACTGGGGAGATGGCTTAGTGGTGAAAGGCACTGGCCACTCTTCCAGAGGACATAGGTTCAACTCTCAGCAACCACTTGATGACCCACCACCATCTGTAACTCCAGTTCCAGGGGATCTGATGCCCTCATCTCATACCCACAGGCATTGCACGCATATCATATATATACATGCAGGTAAAACACCCATACATAGAAAATGAAAATAAATCAAAACCAAAAACTTTTAAATTAAAAAATAAAACACTGTGTTCAAAAGCAACTTAAGGAGGTGGAAAAGGTCTATTTTGTCTTGTTGTTCCAGAGGGATAGAGCCCATCATGGTGGAGACAGCAATGGGAAGTTAGCTGGTCACATTTTACCAGCATACAGGAAGCAGAAAGAGAAAACAGAAATCGGGCAAGGCTATAAATCTTCAAAGCCATCCCCAGTGATGCACCTCCTCCAGCAAGGCTCTGTCTCCTAAAGATTCCACAACCTTCCCAAACAGTGCCAGCACCTGGGGACCACGAGTTCAAATACATGAGCCTATAGGGAACATTTTCCCTTTAAGCCACCACACTGTTCAATTTAAACAGTGCTAGTGACCAAGCCCAGGGCCACACACATGTTGGCTGTGCTTTACTTCACCTCAGGCCCAGGGTCTCACACATGTAAGCTGTGCTTTACTCCCTCTCAGGCCCAGGGTGAGCTTTTAGAGAATATTCTTGTTCATTTTGGAAGTACACCAGACTTAATAGGTTCATCAGTAGGTCATGAATTTTCTTGATGAATTTCACTTCCTTGTGTAGTGACACTACAGGAAGTCACCAGAGGAGGTCAGTGAGGCTCACACCCAGGCCATGAAGGCCTCCTGCCGGCTCTTCTGTGGGGTCACAGTGGCTTTATCTCCTTCCTCTGGAGAGAGTGTCCTGGACTACTGTAGCATCTCTAAGACCTTTGGCACCCTCTGGTCAACAAGAGGAAGAAATGACCAATGATCTCCAGGGCCATATCTTTATGTATAAAAGCCCCAGAAAGGGAGGTACAATAGCCCACAGATGCAGACTGGACTACTGCAGCTTCCAGCTAGAGAGAATAATTCTAATGAATTGGCAGTACACAGTGGGTGGGCAGTAAGAAGTTCATTACCTAGAAACCTTTTTGGCTGGCTCTGCAAGCAAGCAATGGAGAAGATGCTCTTGGAACTTGACACTAGAAAAGAGAATGGAGGACCATTGGGGTTAGAAGAGAGGGAAATCCCTGAGTCTGTTCTTTCTCAACATAGTTGAAGCAAGAGACAGATCCCAGCTACCCCCGCCACGACAGCCTTCTCATTACTCTTCATTTCAGACGTAGTCTCAGAACCGCAGTCTTCAGGGTTCAGCTTTACCCGATAGCAGCTCTGCCAAATCATTTGAACTGTGATATTTGTCTTTCTGTTTGGCAAAGTTTGATGTGACAGGGCATCTGGGACTCCTAAATGTCATTTTTGCCTGGGTTGAAATCACATTCTTTTCCTATTCTATTGCTGTTATTGCAAATCACCACTGACTTAGTGGCTTACAACAACAGTTCTGGATGCCAAATGTCCAGTGCTTGAAATCCAAGTGTGGGCAAAACTGCATTCCTATCCGAGATGCTAGGAGAGATATTTTCCTCCCTTCAGGGCCTTCCAATTGTGCTAGCTTCTAATGGTGCTGTCACTTCTTGGTGTGTAGACCTTTTCCAGCTGTGAAGTCAGAAGCAACCAGTGTGGTCTTTAAAGTTACCAAAGAGTGACCTGAGCTTTGGGGTCACAGGGATGTGGTGGCAGGCTGAAGAGTACACTCTGGTGGTTACAAACTGACTGCATGTTATAGCATGCTAACTAGTGGTAGCGATCTGAGGTCATCTCCAATCTCTTATCTACTTTGTCATAGAAAGGATTAGAACTCAAACATATTTGGGGAGGGCTATTATTTTGCCCACAATAGTTAGACTTCTTTAGCATAATCATCTTTTATTTTATTTATTTATTTTTGGTTTTTCAAGACAGAGTTTCTCTGTGTAGCTTTGTAGACCAGGCTGGCCTTGAACTCACAGAGATCCTCCTGCCTCTGCCTCCCAGTGCTGGGATTAAAGGCGTGCTCCACCACCACCCAGCCATCTTTTATTTTTAAAACACAATCAGATAAATCTGTAATTTCCGCACTCAGGAAACTGAGGCAGGAGAGTCAAGAGTTAAAGGCCTGAGCTAGACATCAAGGCCCCGCCCCATCCCCAATTTCTAAATTTTAGAAAGTAGGCTACAGGCCTATAGCACTTAGCAAGCTGAGAACTTCGAGTCCTGGGCCAGGCTGGACTGCCTAAAGTGTAGTGATCCAAATGGCTCTGGAAATGGCTCTGCATGCCCTTGTTCTTTTATATGTCTGTGAAATGGTTTGATTTCCATGAAGTGTGTTCACCCACCATCTTCCAGAACAGACTTTAAAGAAACAAAGAAGTTGGTCTGCTATTTGAACAATTTGTAACTTGATATTTTTACCTAATTCGATGCTGGAATGTTAGGAAACCAGATGACTTATCTTGGACTTGTATCAAAACTTAGAATAACAAATATTTACACTGTGCTCACTAAATGCCAGGAACTGTTCCCAGCCCATTCTGTATCACTCCCAATCTTCCAAGAACACTCATAAGAGAGTTGCATGGCTTCGCTGAGTGACGTAAAGAATCACATTTGTTACCAGGCACTCAGGACCATATCCTGTTTTGCAACAGGATATGGTGTGAAAAGAAAAACCTATTTTTCCTCACCCCTGTGACTATGGTGGTCTTACAATTTATAGAAAGCTGTGAGATGAAGCAGAAAATCTGCAGCTAGCTGTGAGACAGTTTGAGAAGTCCCTTCCTGAGCACGGGGGCCTCGGACTCCTTTGCAGCCTATTATTGTAGGCATCAGTGTCCTCTGTCCTCCTCGCACCATGGGATCTCCACTGCATAAGCAGCCTAGATAGGAAGGTGGGGGCAGACAGTTCCGTGGACCAGTGAGCTTCCTGGAGTTACAAGTGCATGAATGGAGGGCAGTTAGACCACTTATAAGTCCTCAACTCCTAGTCAACCTTTCACTGCCTTAGGGCCTCCCACCACATCCTGTGCTGGGGCTGGAGAAAGCAGGAATAGAACCTCTGCTAATCCCTTCTAGAAGAGAAAGATAACAGCCTATTACCATTAACGAAGACCTGGTGGGATAGCTAGATGGTATTAACGACTTGGCTAGATTTAGAATCAGTCAGGCTCCTCTCAGCTTAACTCTGAAGCTGTTTCAGAGAGGTTTAACTGACAGTGAAGATCCAGTCTGAAGGTGAGTGGCACCGTCCCAGGGGTTGAGGTCCTGGTCTGAATAAACCAGAATGTGAGCCATGGACCAGTCTTCATCTCTTGATACTTCCTGACAGGGAATGCAGCAGCCAGAGACATCACTTCCTGCCCACGATGGCCTGCACTCTCAAACTGTGAACTAAAATAAACACTTTTTCCTTAAGTTACTGTTCAGTTGGAGCCTCTGGCTGGCTCCTGCATGGTCCTGTTCTTCCTCCTCTGTTGTGCGCGCGCGCGCGTGCGTGCGTGTCCTCAGAGTCTCTGAACAAAGGAAAGGCTCCAAAAAGCCAGTTCCACTGCATTCTTGGCACTATTGCAATTTCCTCCCCTGATGTGGCCAGCAGCCAGCCACCCAAGTCCTGGCCTAGGCGGTCAGCTTTTGACCATACTTGGGCACAAACCCAGCTTGAGGCAGACACATCATCACCCCTTGCCTTCAATCTATAAAATCTCCCTGCTTAACTGCTGCGCTGGCCCAGAAGCGGGATCGCGTCAGTGCGCCTGCGCGGCGGGAAGCCCGAGGACACAATCCTAGCCCCAGACCCGGCCAGATTTTAGCGATTGTCGTCGGGTGGTAAGGACAAGACTAGGAATAGCTGCTCTGTCTGGGGTGTGTCTTGCGTTGTGCCGCCCTTTCCTGCACCGCTAAGCCTCCCTGATCGCTCTTGTTTTCCAGAGTGCTGCTTCTCTTTCCCGCGCGGTCTACACCTCCTTCCCACCAGGGATAATGGCGACAGCTGAGGTACTGAACATTGGGAGAAAACTCTATGAGGGTAAGACAAAAGAAGTCTATGAATTGTTAGATAATCCAGGAAAAGTCCTCCTTCAGTCCAAGGACCAGATTACAGCAGGAAATGCAGCTAGAAAGAACCATATGGAAGGCAAAACTGCAATCTCCAATAAGATTACCAGCTGTAGTTTTCAGTTGTTACAGGATGCGGGTATCAAAACTGCTTTCACCAAGAAATGTGGGGAGACTGCTTTCATTGCACCCCAATGTGAAATGATTCCGATTGAATGGGTGTGCCGAAGAATAGCAACTAGATCTTTTCTCAAAAGGAACCCTAGTGTAAAGGAGGGGTATAAGTTTTACCCACCGAAAGTAGAGACGTTCTTCAAGGATGATGCCAATAATGACCCGCAGTGGTCTGAGGAGCAGCTTATTGCTGCAAAGTTCTGCTTTGCTGGACTTATTATGAGCCAGACTGAAGTTGACATCATAAGTCATGCTACCCAAGCTATATTTGAAATCCTAGAGAAGTCCTGGCTTCCCCAGAACTGTACACTGGTTGACATGAAGATTGAATTTGGTGTTGATGTAACCACCAAAGAGATTGTTCTGGCTGATGTTATTGATAATGATTCCTGGAGACTCTGGCCATCAGGGGATCGGAGCCAGCAGAAAGACAAACAGTCTTACCGTGACCTCAAGGAAGTAACTCCGGAAGGACTGCAGATGGTAAAGAACTTTGAGTGGGTTGCAGATCGAATGGAGTTACTCCTGAAGTCAGACAGTCAGTGCAGAGTTGTAGTGCTGATGGGTTCCACTTCTGAACTTGGTCACTGTGAGAAAATTAAAAAGGCTTGTGGAAACTTCGGGATTCCATGTGAACTTCAAGTAACATCTGCCCATAAAGGACCGGATGAAATTTTGAGGATTAAAGCAGAGTATGAAGGGGATGGCATACCTACTGTATTTGTCGCAGTGGCTGGCAGAAGCAATGGTTTGGGCCTGGTGATGTCTGGTAATACTGCATATCCAGTTAACAGCTGTTCCCCCATCATACCACACTGGGTTGCTCAGGATGTGTGGTCATCCCTTCGACTGCCCAGTGGTCTTGGCTGTTCAACTATACTTTCTCCAGAAGGATCCGCCCAGTTTGCTGCTCAGATATTTGGGTTAAACAACCATTTGGTATGGGCCAAACTTCGAGCAAGCATTCTGAACACATGGATATCTTTAAAGCAAGCTGACAAGAAAACAGAGAATGCAATTTATAAAAATAAAAAAAGTAATTTTTAGGGCAAAAGTTACTCATTCCTAGTTTGGATTAAAAAGAAAAGAATTTAATCAAAATGATTTCACATCAGAGAAAACAATTCAGTTTACTGCTGAACAAATGGTCTTCTACATGTAGCTTTCCTTTAGATTTTAGGGGTTGACAAGTTGTTGGTGAGTATTTATTATTAATATTTTCTAGCTCTGAATAATGATGTGTTCCTGTAACCTCAGCACACCAGAGGCTGAGGCAGAAAAACTATGTGTTGAGACCCTGTATTGAAATAAAAAAAGTCTTTATAGTTAGTTAAAAAAAAAAAAATCTCCCTGCTTTAGCTAGGATGCTCCTTGACTTCACTGGCCAGGTTCTCTGAGACCAGTGAATCCATCTGGGAGTTGCTTTGCTCAATATATCTGTTGTTATACTTTTTCAGTTTTACTTGATCTGGCTTACTGCATCACTGAAGAAATTTACTATGGGGGGATTTATCAGAAAACGTATTAGTTACCTTTGTCTGACATTTTGTCATAGCAATGATGCAAGTAACTAATACCAAAAGTTGGTACAAGAAGTGGGGACATTGCTATGACAAACCTGACCATGTGGTTGTTAGGCAAATGAGAGGAATATGGATGAGTTTGGAAATTTGGGCTAAAGAAACCCTAGAATGCTGCATGGAGTGTTTAATGTACCATTCTAGTGGACGTTTGGAAGACCAGAATGCCTAGAAAAACATGAACAGTGAAGGCTGGCTCATGAGATTTCAGAGAACAAAAGCTCTATCAGGAATTTGGCTATGAGCCTCTACAGTATATTCTGGCAATGAGTCATCTGGCTTCATTCTGCTTATGTTGAGAACATGCATGGGGTTAAATTAAATAAATAACGGGCTAATTTATTTGGCTGGGGAATTCTCAAGACAGGATAGCATCGGGCCCTGTTATTATTATTGTTTGCCATCCTTATCCCGGTCCACAGTGAGGCAGAGCAATGTGAAGAGCAAAAAGATAGAAAACGTGCCATTTATGGGCACAGAGGAAGCTAGAGCTGCAGACAGCAATGGAGCTGAAAAAGCAGCTGTAGTTGATAAAAAGATCAGCACCCTTGTCCTGGCTAGTTTTCCTTGAACAAGCTAGAGCCATTCGGGAACAGGGACCCCCAATTGAGAAAATATCTCCATTAAGATCTGCCTGTAGGCATTTTCTAATTTTCATGGGTGGTGTCATCCTCTGGCAGGTGGTCCTGGGTGTGTAAGAAAGCTGGTTGAGCAAGCTACTGAGAACAAACCAATAAACAGCACTCCTCCATGGCCCCTGCATCTGCTCCTGCCCTGGAATAACAGGGAGGGTGACCGAGGGCAAGATGCCATCCACCAAATTCTCCATCTTTGAAAATCCAAATTGATTTGAAAAGAGAGAGGCTTACAAGACAAGTAAACTGAGCTTGAGAGGTGCAGTTGCTAATTAATGTTTTGTTAAGAATCAATAAACAGGCCACAAAAAAATCCTCCAGGTAATTGAATTGAAACCCAAATCAAAATTCACTGTAAGCAAGACCCGTTGAGAGATGCCCCATTTCCCTAGGTATAATCTGATAAAGTGTTGGCTGCTGTCCTGTGCTCAATGGACACCATTGGGTGCCCAGTCAACAGCTTGCTACTTGGTTTGTTCTCTTTACTTCCAGTGGCTATGTGTAGATGTTTAAGTTTCAAACCCAGCTGAGGTGTCTGTTTAACATATCCAAAAGCACTTGGCCTCCAGGTTCTCTCTGCATCCCTCAGTCCCTACCTGTTATAGGGTGTGGCTGACAGACCCCACCCTTTACCCTGATCTCTCCAGTCCAAGGGTTGGGCTGCCCTTTCCCCAGAGGCTCTTCCCTATATAATCCAGACATTTTGGTTACCCACCCTTTTGTACCTTTGCCCTCTTGGCTACTGCATCTCATCACCCCCGCTCCCTTGTCCCTTCTCTCCACATGGCCAACTCAGTCTGGTCATGTCCACTCTGTACTCTCCCAGATGTCCCTGCCTCTGGCTATGCTCTCCCACACATCTGCAATAAACTCCTCCACCATGCCCAGGAGCAGTCATGGCCTTTCCCTTTTCTTTTCTTCTTCTTTTTTTTTAAAAATCATTTAGGAAGTCAGGAGAAGGCTGTTGGTGACTTGAACATCCTGCTGACTCATTCCTGGCTCCTGAGTTCAGTTTCATTTATTTTATTTTATTTTGAGACGAGATGTCAGTCTGTAGTCCAGGCTAGTCCCAGATAAATAGCAATATTTTTTTTTAACCTCCCGGGTGCTGGGATTACAGGTATGAGCTTCCAGCCTCTAGTTTCCACAGAGATAATTCTGAAGACTTTGTCATTGAATAACATTTCTTGTTTGATCATTCACCAGAAAACTGTTTCATCTTTCTACCATCAGCTTCAAAGTTAGGTAAAACGTAAATTCCTGAAAATTCATTTCAACTTTGAAAGTCTGGAAACATCATTTGGAGTTACATGGAGTTACTGAAGTCCCTTTTGTGGGATAGCAGCAAATTCTAGAAGAGACGGGGAAAGTCTCAGATGGGGTGGGGATGTGACAGAAACAAGCCAAAATATGAGGTGGTTTCTCCAAAGGCTTTAAATTTTTAAATAGCTAGTATTACTACTGAGTGTGGACACACGCATGTCAGCACACATGCCTCTGACTCTGTCTGTGTGGAGGACAGAAGACAAGTTCTGGGAGCTGGTTCTCTCCTTCCACCAGATGGGTTCCAGGGACTGAACTTGGCCATCACGCTTGACAGAAAGTGCCTTTATTTACTAAAACCCACTCCAAGTGGCTTTCATTTATGGATTTGTTTACTCGACAATTACTATATTATAAAATCTTACAAAGCAAAGACAAAAAAAGATTTCAGAAGTGGATGCTTACGAAACTCTTCTTCTAAAACCAACAGGGAACAATACAACTGTCAGAAAGAATAGGTGAGATTAATTAAATGTATGTTAGAGAGGCTCAGTGGATGGCTCAGTGGGTAAAGGCTGTACAATACTGGTGACCTGAGTTCAATCCCTGAATCACACATAAGAATGGAAGGAAAGAAATTCCACGACGTTGTCTCTGACCTGCATACATACACCATGGCACTTACGTTCACACTCACACACACCATACACACTTGCATGCACACAATAATAGTTTAAAATTTTAAATGTATACTGGTGGGATGACTCATCCAAATGAATTATTATTGTAAATTAGTAAAATAGAAGCACTTACATATCAATGTGGAAAGATATGCAAGATGTATTATATGGCAGAAATTGCAGATGTGCCTGTGATGTAGGGTTTCTGGAGATTAAAGTTATAGAACTGATCTGACAGGAGAAATATTTTAAACATGACACTTGCACTAGTAGACTTTGGGAACTCCCTCATTCTGGGGTAGGGAAAGGCTGAAGTCTGGTGGCAGCCAGGGAAGGAACCAGATATGTCACACAGTTCTGGCAACTTAACAGACCACCTTGCCTAAGAAACCAGAGGTGAGACACCTAAGGGGACCTCGACTACTCAGTTATGCTGCCTCCCTCACTCTGCTTAACAGGATACAGCCTGTGTTCATAGTTCAACTATCTTGCTACCCTTTCCTTCCCTCCCTCCCTCCCTCCCTTCATTCATCATTGTGTGTCCCATGTATTTGTGTATAGTGTGTGTGTGGTGTGTGTGTGTGTGTGTGTGTGTGTGTGTGTGTGTGTGTGTGTGTACACATGTGTGTGCCTGCCTGCCATACAAGTGTGTAAATGTCAGAGCACAACTTTGAGGGGTCTGTTCTCTCCTTCTACAGTGGGTTCTGGGAATTGAACTCAGGTCCTCAGGCTTGAGCCATCTTGCTAGCTCTTACCCTCTGTTTAAACTTAAACCCCGTGCCAGTGCCCCAAATATGGACCTGGGGGTGTGTAGGGAGTGAGTGAAGTCCCAAACAAATGTGTGTTGCTTTATATGGGTCGGCCATGTCAAGGACCCCAATACCTCAGACCCATGAGAGTGGCAAAGCTTTTCCTGGGTGAGACTGAGGCAAAGCCTTCCTCTGGTCTGAGTGTGAATGTTGACAGTGTGGTCCTCCCCCACCCATATTTACAGCCTGAAGGCTGTTCCCCTACAGAGACACCCCTAGAGCAGTGGTTCTCCACTGCCACAGTTCCTCATGTTGTGGTGACCACCAGCCATTAAATGATGCTCGTTGCTACTTCATAACTGTGATTTTGCTACTGTTATGAATTGCAATATAACTGTGTTTTCTGATGGTCTTAGGCAACCCCTGTAAAAGAGTCATCCAATCCTACCCCCCACCCAAAGGGTCTCAACTCGAAGACCTGGAAAGATTAGTCTCCGTGCTTATCTACATTAATAACCCCCTCCTTGTTCATCTATATGCAATGACCCCATATTCTTTTCCAACTGTATACAATCAAGTGTGAGCTTCTGGGGCTACTGTGGCTTCTCCATTTGGGAGCCCAGACCTCCTGATTCCACGTTTCTGTGTCTGTGTCTCTGTCATTTCTTTCGATTACTACCCCAGTTAGGTCAATCCCAGGGGCCTCCCCATAGAGCATGGTGGGGGTCACTGGACATCTTTATTGTTCCTCTTGCCAATGAGAGAGTGCAATGATAAGTCTCTGTTCTTACTATTATTTGCTGTTGTGATATATTATTAATGATTTATTAAGCTTGCCTGAAGATTCAGAAAGCAAAGTCAGCCCCACAAGCCATAGAAGCCAGTAACACACCTTTAATCCTAGAAGGTGGTGGTACACACCTTTAATCTTAGGACTCAGGATTAAGAGATAGACAGATCTCTCTGAGTTCAAGGCCACCCAAGAATACATGAGATTGAGTCAGTCCAAAACAGTAACAGATCACATGCCTTTAATCCCAGCATTAGAGGAGTATTAAAGATAGAGCGGGATCTTCAGTAGTCAGTAAAGACAATTCTGGTCAATAAGAGACTTAAAAGCAAGTCTGCTGGTA